TCAGCGGCCTCGGCTTGCCTCCCTGGCTCCCGAGTTGGGAACGAAGCCTCAGGAGGAGAAGTGACTGATCCACCAGCACTGAGACAGCCGGGGCAGGAAAGCCCAGTGTCTCACGGGCCCGGGCGCTGACTGTCCCTTCCCCCTACCCCGGCGTGGCTGGCTGTGACCCACTTAACCACCCACACCCCCTGGCCTCACTGCTCCCAGATCTCAGCCTGGCAGAGCCCTGGGGGAGATTAGGGTGCCCCGGACAAGGTGGGAAACAGGTCCAGAGAGAGGTGCAGACGCGGCCAGGTCACCCAGCAAGGGAGCATAGGGCTGGACCTCACCCTGGGACAGCCACCTGGTCAGGGCTCTTTCCGGGAGCCCCCACTGGCTCTTGTGTTTAGACTGGTTATTGCTTCAGGCCAGCTGCCTGGAACACCTGGGGGGGGTGGCAGGAGGAGAGGAAGAAAAGGTGGTCAATCTTGGCTTCTTCGTTTCCTGCTTCCTGAGCTGCTGGGAATGGGGTCTGTGCCTCTTGGAAGTTGAGGGGCTCCCCTGCTCCCCAGCGAGGACAGTTGGCCGGCAGACTCCTCGGCCTGCTTCCACAGGGTGCTGCGCTCAGTGACCCGGGGCTGAGAGGGCCCGGTCCTCTTCAGCCTACCTGGGGGCTGTCTGTGCCCCAGCCTCCACAGCTCCCTTTTCCAGAGGGTCCCCGGAGTGGGGTGCTGGGCCCTGGGCCCTGGGAGATCACCAGGGCCAGGACCAGACCATCTCTTACCTGCTTTTTCTCCCCAAAGCCCCTGGATGACACTCCCGCAAGATGTGAATTAGAGGGCCTGTTAAATCTGAGTGGCCTCAGAGTATTGTACTTTTAGCATGTGTTGGTTGCAAATCAGCATGATCCTATGAACTTGGTAATGCTCTTAGAGGATCTGTGTTTGATCCATCACTCCCGAGGAGCAGCAGGTGACACGTTAGTGACTCAGGGTGTGGGTTGGAAACCACAGGTCGTGGGGCCTGGTGGCTGCAGTTGATAGGGTGGTGGGGGTGGGGGGTCAGCCCAGAGTTAGAAGCTCCTCCCTTGAACCTCTCTGAGATGCCCACTTGGTGCCTTGCCTTGTGACCCTGCCAAGGAGCTTTCGTGCCCAAGGTGTTTTGGAGGGAAGCACCACCCCAGGTCCCCTTGGTTGGCAAGGACAAGGGCTCTACTGGGATGGAGGGTCCCCAGGAGGGCGGCCCGCTTCATGGCCACTGCGGGTTGAGAGCTGCCTCATGAAGCTTCTTTGCTGGCCTTCTAGCCACAGAGTCTCGGCTTGCTCTTGGGAGTGGCTGGCAGCTGAGTGGTGGAGACTCAGCTCCTGGCAGCCTTGACCCTGTTTGTCCATGCCGTCCGCTCTCCGCCTCTGGAATATGGGCGAGCACCTTTGTCCCCTCTGCCTCTGGGGCAAGGTCAGGGATTTTTACTCAGTGATGCTTTCTGGAGCCTACAGCCGTGCTGAGAAGCTTTAGGCAAGTTGCTCTTCAAACAGATGGGCCAGCCAGGGAAGATGGTTCTTCGGGGCTGGGGAGAGGGAGGGAGATGATGGCAGGTAAAGAGAGCACCTGCCCCTGGAAGACTGCAGGTGGCGAAGAAGGCCTGCTCCTCTCATACCCTTTGCTGGCCCGCTAGAGCCCTGACCCCAGGTCTCCCTCGTCCTTCCTACCCAGCCCAGGTGTGGCCGGGAGACCAGTGTGGCCGAGACAGGTGTGCAGACTCACACTCACGCTCCCTCTCCCAACCTCCATGTGTCAGCCCCACGACCCCCACCAGAGCCAAACCTGGCCTTGTCTTCTCAGGCAGGTGGGCTTCCAAGGGTCTGTGCTGAGGACGGGAGAGGAGCAAATTGCTCTGAGCAAGCTGAACCTGTGGATTTTAGATCTTAACTCACCACAAGGCTTTTGATTTGTATGAAAAGCTGGTTTTCCTGGGATTGGAGAGGTGAAAAGGCCACATTAAAGGTATGGGCTGGCTTGCCTTTTCCGTCCCAGGTAGGTTCTAAGTTGGGCCAACCTGTTCCCCAGCAGCCCCAAGTGATGGCCAAGCAGTCTCTTGGAAGGAAGGCCCTGGGTCAGAGGCAGTGCTGAGAGCCCCACCCGAGGCTGCAGACTCTAGCACAGCAGGGCTGCCCAGTGAAACCGGGAGTTCCCCCTGAACTTAGTCAGCTGGCACCTGGTGATCCAAATTCAAACTCGGTCAGTTTCTGTTGATTTCCTCCCCACAGCTGAGGCCCTCGGAGGGGATTTGGGAGGTCACCATAGCTTATCCCTCAAAGGAGACCCAGCCCTGCAGGGAGAGGCTGCCCTGAGGCCAGGGAGCTGGTTTCAGTGGAGAAAGTGTTTGCTTAAGAGCCTGTGTAAACAAGATCCACAGAGGGATAAGCTGAGCAGTTAGGAAACATTGTTTTCAGGGACTCTGATCCAAAGTCTTATCTGGCCCCGAGAGGCCCGGCTCTTGGGAAATTGCTAACCTGTTAGGGCTTCTCTGTGTAGGTGAGAGGCTGAGCCTACCCAGCGTTTCTGCCTGGGTCTCGGGTGGTGCCTCCGAGGTAGACAAGGTGCCCAGTGTGCTGAGTTCTCTGTCGGCCTCAGTTCCCTGGTCTGTGAAATGGGGCCCTGGCTTCGGTGAAGAACTGGTGCTCTGCAGCGTCGTGGAGGCTGGTCTGGTTGGAACCCTGACCCCTGACCCCTGCTCCATGTCCAGCGTTCTCTCCAAAGGAGGGGGTTGGTGCCTTGGGATGGGTGCTAATTCCCAGTGAGGGCCTGAGGGTGGACAGGGGCCTTGGGCAAGGGTGAAACAGGGTCTTGGTGGGGGTGTGTGGATGGGGGTCCCTTGAGTGCTTGCCCCTTACCCCCAGCTGCCCAGCTGGGAGCAGTCTGCTCCGGGCCTCAGTGGGAGTATGTTGGGGTGGGAGGTGCTCACTCCGTGCCTGCCTTGTGGGCAGTTGTCTTTGCTTCGGGAGACGGGGGCCTGTGGTGGCAGGATGTTATTTGAAGCATCACTGAAACAGCAGAGACAGGATGTGGTCTGGGGTACAGGTGACAGTCCAGGACGATGCTCATTGTAGATGGGCCATAACAGCTCAGACAGATCCTTCTGGGACCAAAACCCTTTTCTTTTCTTTTATCCTCACCTGAGGACATTTTCCCACTTTTTTGTTCAGATAGAGTGGGAGGGAGAGAGAGGAAGGGGGGAGACATCGATGTGAAAGGGACACACTGAGTGGCTGCCACCCGCACAACCCAACCAGGGCCGGGGACAAACTACAACCGAGGTACATGCCCTTAGTGGGAACCGAACCCGGGTCTCTCTGAACCGCAGGCCGACGCTCTAACCACTGAGCCAAACTGGCCAGGGCCCAAAACCCTTTTCTTGTGAGGGGTTGGGGGAGGTACAGTTTGGGTTTTATACTTTCAAAGGAAGTTCAGTGGTATTTCTAGCCTTGAAGTTTCTACACGTGTCTGAAGCGTCCCCTGATGGGAAGCCCCCACTTGGTCCAGCTGTGTCCCAGGCAGCCTCAAGAGGTCAGAAGACTTGTCTGTCCCTCCCTGCTCTGCTTCACTCAAGAGTGAGGCCCTGTGCCCTGTGGCCTGTGGCTTGTGGTCAGGGCCTGGCGAGGCCTCTTGGACTGGGGAGGCCCAGCCTCGGGTGAGGCCTGCCTTCTGACAAGTCTGCACGGAGCCTCCTGTGAACCAGCACCCTCCTGCCCCCTCTTCTCCTAAAACTCTACCCACCTCCGTCCTACCTCTTCCCAGACAGGCCCCAGAACCCCCCTGCCCCTGCCTACTTCTGGCAGCCACCCCTGTTGATGGGGTGCTTACTGCTGCCCGACTGTTAGGTTCTTCATGTGCATAGCCTCATTGACTGTTTGCAACAATACTAGAAAGTAGATAGGACTATTGCCCCATTTTACAGATGGGGAGACTGAGGCTGTAAGATGGTTAATTAGGGCCACTCAGCTAGTAAGTGGCAGGGGTCAGGGGTCCTGGGTACTTGGAACTGTGCTGGTCTGCCTCTCTGTCCTGTTTGTTCTGCCCCCATGTTGGGGCCCTCTCAAAATGGACCGTATTCCAAGGGCTGTTTGGGTCCAAGTCTTGTTGCGGAACAGGACACAGAGCAACCCTTCCTGCGATCTAGCTGCGGGTCCTCCCCCACCTGCTCTGCAGGAGCCAGTGTTTCTGCACACGCCCACTCAGCTGTGTGTGGTGTGTCCCGCCTCCTTCCGGCCCCACTCCCTGGTCCTGCCTCAGGAACGCGGCTCCTGCAGCCTCCGGGCCAAGCAGGCGGCATTCCTGGGACGGCTGTTTGCACACCGGCCCGTTCCAGGCCCACAGCCGCTTGTCAGCGCCTCCTTAGGCAGGGCCCTCACCCAGCCCTTCCCGTGGAGGAGGCCACAGGTCCGCTGTGGGGAGGGGGCCAGGGCCAGACCTGCCTCGGCACAGATAACAGCCCGTGCCCAGCCCCCCCTCCCCCGCAGGGCCCTTGGTGCCCACATGCTGGTCCCCACACGCCTGGAGGCTGCCTTTCTAGAGCCAGCGTATTGTGGCATTTTCCTGGGGGTTCCTGAAAGCCCCAACCTTGGACCCCAAAGCCCCCTGGCCAGTGGCCCAAGACCTGATTCTCAGTGTAGGGTGGTCCGATGGGATCCCATGGGAGCCACAGCCTGTTTCCAGTAACGGTGTCTTCTGTTTGCTCTCTGAGAGGCCTGGGACACTCACCACACGGAGCTGCTTGGGGCGAGGGCCCGTCCCCTCGTGTGTTTCTGCACCCCCAGCACCTGACACAGGGCTGCACTGTCATAGCAGCAGGAGGTGTGTGTGGCACCGAAGGGCTGCCCAGAGCTGAGGGTCCTGAGCTCTCCACAAGGCCTTTCTTCCTTGCTGTGTGTGTGGGGGGTACTCAGCTGTGTGGGACAGGGACCCCATAATCATAGCACCCTGGCAAGCCTCCACTCATACCCCTTTCTGATCCTTTCCAGCAAATTGTGGCTACAAATGTGCCCCCCGAAGATCAGGATGGCTCGGGGGACGACTCTGACAACTTCTCTGGCTCGGGCGCAGGTGAGCCAGCATGAGAGCCTCACTCACTCCACAGTGGCGGCAGCTTGTGCACCGGGCCGAAGGGAGGTGCCGGGGAAAGGATGGGGTTCCGGTGCAAAGAGAGAGCTTGTGTGGGTGAGGAGTGACTGTCGTGGGTTCCAGAAGGCCCTGGAGGCCACCTGCTGCAGCAGACTGGGGCTCCTACTCTCCTCTTCACTCACTGGGAAACCTTTGGAAGCTTGTTGGACTTCTCCAAGCCTCTATTTCCGCATCTGTGAAATGGGGATAATACCCTGACTGCATCAGGTTGTGAACAGGCTGTAAGGCAGCAGAGCCTGGTGGATTGCATATCTCTATAAAAGTTCCCTTATCTTCCCCAGTTCTCCTTTCCATGGGGAATGAAGTCCCTGAGCTAGAGGAGGTGCTTTTGAGCTGGATCTCAGAAGAGGGTTGAGGCCATCCATGGGGACAGTGGCCTAGGCAGGAGCTCGGGCTGGGGGGCAGGACATAGGCCTCTGCTCGTGGGAGCCTGGGCTTTTCTAGGGAGGGGCCCGGGAGTGTGTGCACTGGGGATGAAGGCATTCAGGCCTCGAGGACACCCCAGCCAGGGCGGGTTTCAGCCACTGTAGGAAATGTTTCTTGCCAGATGGCCTTAGTGGCTCATGGCTCCAGAGACCAGGCTGTCTTGAGGCACAGGCAGTGGACGAAGGCCGCTCTCCTTGTTCATTTTCCAAAGTCAAGTTAGCTTCAGCCTGGCTCCATCCTGGGGGACAGCACTTCCCACCGGAGGAGTTTACTCTGCTAGCTGGGAAGGGGGCCGCGGGTCCTCACCCAGGCCTCCCTCGCAGCCTGAACTTGACCGGTTGAGATGTTCTGAGCTCCCCCCGACTCCAACAAGCTCTGCTTCTGGCCCTGCAGGTGTTCTGCAAGAGATCATGCCACAGAAGACCTCCTCCACCTGGAAGGACATGGGGTTTCTGACGGTCACGCCCACAGCTCCAGAGCCCACCGGCACGGACACCATCGCTGCCTCCACCTCCACCTCCACCTCCACCCTGTCGGCTGGAGCGGGAGACGAGAACGGAGGTGCAGTGTTCCTGGTCAAAGTGGAGCCTGGCTTCAGCACCCAGAAGACCACCCACCCACCCAGCGAGACCACGTCACACCCAGCCACCCACCAGGTGTCAACAACGAGAGCCACCACTATCCAGGCACCTGTCACCTCCCATGCTTCTAGAGGCATGCAGCCTGAACACCATATGACCTCAGCTCCTGAAGGACATGGCCAGCTCGACCCTCACACTCTCAGTGTGGAGGAGGGAGGTTCTTCTGCCACCGAGAGAGCTGCTGAGGTTGGAACTGTCACCCAGTTCCCAGCAGGAGAGGGCTCTGGGGAGGAGGTAAGTGTCTGCCCTCTGTAGTCCTCTGTTTCCTGGACAGTGAGTGACCCGTGGGCTTGGTGGCCCTATGGACTGGTTGAGCATAGTGCCTTGGGTTGGGAGACATGACTGGCACATCCAACACCCTGTGCCCTGAGAGCACATCATGTTCCTCACCATGACGACAGGTCATGAGGTCCCACCTTCCCTGAACCCAGGGCAGGACAGACTAAAGCAATGAAACCAGAGCGGAAGAGCCCTTCAAAGTCACCAAAAAGAGGGCTTCCCCAGCTTCAGCCAGGCCCTGCTGCGAGCGTAAAAGTTCTTCCAAGTTCTAGGTTTATCACTTAGGGGCATGGACATTTCCCACTACAGTGAGCCTGCTTCTTTTCGTGTTAAAACACGGGCTTTATGTCGCCTGACATCGCTCTCCACGGTCAGGCAGGGCTCAGCGTGATGTGGTGAGGGCTGGGCTTGGCGGGACTGCGGCCGGGCTTGGGGGTGTCCGCGTCGGTGGCAGCAGTGCCCGGGGACGCCTGCTCGGCTCCGGGTTTGGAGGGGGACCTGGGTGCGGCTGCCGGAGTGGCCCACGCAGCCTGATCCTGCCCCTGCCCTCCTGTAGGACTTCACCTTTGACGTGTCTGCGGAGAGCACGGCCGGGTCTGCTGTGGTGCGTGACCAGCCCCATGAACCTCCCGTGGGCCGTGGGGCCACCGGGGCCTCACAGGGCCTCCTGGACCGGAAGGAAGTGCTGGGAGGTGAGTTCTCTCGGGTGGGCAGGGGGGCACACTGCTGCCCTTGGGGTGGGGCTGACCACGGGCAAGGCCACTTTGGGGGCTGCCGGGGGGGGGGAGCAGCTGCTGAGCTGGCCTCTGTCTGCCTACCCAGGGGTCATCGCTGGAGGCCTGGTGGGGCTCATCTTTGCCGTGTGCCTGGTGGGCTTCATGCTGTACCGAATGAAGAAGAAGGACGAGGGCAGCTACTCCTTGGAGGAGCCGAAACAAGCCAATGGCGGGGCCTACCAGAAGCCCATCAAGCAGGAGGAGTTCTATGCCTGACGGGGGCGTCCGCCCCTCCCCCTGCCGCTCGCTAGGCCCCCACTTGCCTCTTCCGTGAAGAACTGCAGGCCCCGGGCACCATGCCTCCTCCCCAACGCTCCCAGCCCCTCCAGCCTGCTCCCCGCGAGTCCCGGGGCACGCTGGGGGCTCTCTGCTTCTCTGACTTCTGCCTGGAGACTGGGGCGCGAGGGCTTTCTGCATCTGACCTTCCACCACGGCCGGCACCTGGCACCTCCCCGCTGACTCCGTCTCCCATCTGGAACGGCTCTGGAGAGGGGACCCCACTGCTTTGGACCTGGACGGCTCTGGAGAGGGGACCCTACTGCTTTGGACCTGGACGGCCCGCTGGGGCTGAGGGTTGCCGAGTCCGTCCTCGCACTTACTCGCAGAGCCCGCGGTCTTGGGGGCGTGGACGGCCGAGGGGGGGCGGTTCCGGGCTCCATCCTCGTGCGCTTTGTGGGGAGGTCTCATTTAGATACCGACTTGTTTTTGCACATGTTTCCTCTAGTTTCTTTGCTCATAGCCCAGTAGCCTTTATTACTTTGAAGTGAGGTGCGTTGGTTCGGTGAAGCCCCGTCTTGCTTCCCCAACCCAGCGCCAGGATGCAGCGGCAGGGCCGAGGAGACTGACTCTCAGCGGGAGAACCAGACCTGGAAGCCAGCTCGGGGCGCAGTTCGTGTGTTGTCTCTTGAGTTTGTCACTCACGTGTGCAACAGGGTATGAAATGTCTGGGTGGCCCCGTTGGTGGGCTGGCCGGCCTCGGCTGCCGTGGGCAGTCACGCCCGTGTCCATGAACTCGGGCGCCGTTGAGGAGCCCACGTGAGAACAGAACCTGATCCTGGAACCTCAGGCTGGGGACAGAGGCCTGGGGTGAGAGGCGGCAGCAGCCCGTAGAATGTCCCGCAGACTGAGCTCCTTCCTCGACACCACCTCTGGGAACTTTCTTCTGGAAGGTGACGAGAGGGGCCCTGGGCCCGCCTGGCCTGAGTCTCTCCACGGAGGGCCAGATCCACCTTCTGTGAGCTCCTGGGGCCCTGCCCTGGGCCGGAACCGGAATGTTCCAAAGAGGGTTAGTCTTTTGCTTTTGGCAAAACTCTACTTAATCCCATGGGTTTTCCCTGCGCTGCAGATTCTCGGTAATAAACTTGAATGGAAAGTGGTCCGTGAGCTCCGCTGCCTTTGCTTCCTCCGTCTGCTGGCCGAGTGGACATGACCTCTCCTCCAGACAGGCGACGGGGGCAGCACCAGGCTCCTTCCCCTTTCCCGCGGGGAGGGGTTCTGGGGCCAGAGGCCCTCGCGGCGGTTGGTTTTTGGTCTTTTCTAATATCCTTCCTGAGGCCGGTCGGTTCAGCCAAGGTCATGTCATTCCTGATGGAAACGTCTGTGTCTCCAAGCTCAAAGCACCTCTCTCCTCAATGGTGAACGAAGTTGTGCCGCCCCCAGCACAGCGGGACCCGGGGTTGCTGGCCCCAGGGGCTGCCTCAGACACCTCGGACGCCGCCTCTCACACCTTCGCGGAGCCGAGGCCCCAGCCTGGGGCTTCTGGGAACTCCTGTACTTGCTTATTTAATTTGACAACGTTCCAGCTGCTCTGTGGCTGCTCCGAGGGGGGACAGATGTGACGCAGAGAGGTGCGCCGCCAAACGAAGGGAACCTGTGCCCTGTGTTCAATACTGGGACTTGCTGCCCGGAATGTGTGACTGGACATGACTCGGGGGTGGGGAAGGGGTCTGTGACCGTGCTCATCTCTGCTGGTCCTTGGGACAGTGCCGAGCCTGTGGCTGGGCCCATTCATGTAACTCTAATAAACGGTACTTGTCATTCCGGGCTGCCTTGGTGGTTGAGTGTCTTCTTGGCCTGGCTCTGGACGGTGCTCTGGCTTGGTGAAGAACAGGGAGGCGCCCTGGTCCCTCCGACTCCTGTCCCCACTGGCTCAGCCCTCCCTGTCTTCCCGCCTCCCAGGGCTCTCTGCCTTTTCTCTCCCGGACCGGACACAAGGCTCCCTACTGACTCGTGTGCTGGTCCTTTTGCTCGTTGTTGTGGGCCCCTGGAGCCTCACTAGCAGATGGTCTGAAGTGCCAAAGGTCTACAAACGTCTGCACCTTAGGGAAAACCTGCCGTGGGAATTCGGGGGCATTGGGGAAGCTCAGCACTGTCGGGGCACCTGGCGCTTTGCCCGGCTGGGTCTCCTGTAGGTAGGGACCCCCACCCAGCCCCTCAGCTGTCCCCTCGTGGCGGATGTTCCCTCGGAACTTTGACACCTGATCCACAGTCTGCCCCTGGGTGCAGGCCAGCCCCTGACGCCAGAGCCCAGGTATGTCCTAGGGACACAAGGAGGAGTCATTCCTGGGTCCCTTACCTGTGGGGGGGCAGGGGCTCCAGGCAGCTTTGCAGGGTGGAGGACGCTCCTTTCCCGACACATGGGGCTCCTAAGGTCTGGGTGCTGGGACACAATCCTCAGGCTGTTCAACAACACTGGCAATACCAAGCTCCTGTTTCCTGCCACTCCCTGGGCTGGACAGTGAGGGCACAGTGTGGAAGAGGCTACCGGGATTTTTTTTTCTTTATTGATATTAGAGAGAGGGAGGGAGAGAGATAGAAACATCGATGAGAGAGACTATCAATTGGCTGCCTCCTGCATACCCCACTGGGGATCAGGCCCACAACCCGGACATGTGCCCTGACCGGGAATCAAACCGGTGACCTCTGAACCGACTATGGGCCAGACTGCTGGACAAGGCATCACGACTGAAAACTCGTAACCCAGCAGAGAGCACTGTTAATGACCCCCACTTGATAGGCAGAAGCTGTGATACCGAGGAAGGGTCTCGCCCAAGATCTCATGCCAGAGAGGGTGGAGCTGGGGTTTGACAAGGGCAGCCTGGCCCCTGAGGCCACAGTGGGCTGTGCACACACAAGGTGGCATAGACCCAGGAGGATGTCTCCTCCACCGGCCAGTTTTCGAGACCTCACCCTCTGGGCTCCCTGAGCCTGTCCTGTCCCAATACACCACCCCAGTCCCACCCCATTCTCTGCTGGGTTCTCCCTTCTGCTTCCCGCTCCTCCTGGGTCACACCTGTGTCCCTTCCCCCAGGGCACTGCCCAGAAGGGTGTGAGACTGACCGTAAAGAACTGAAATCCCGTCGTGAAGTCCCTCAGGTACCCTGGCCTCAAGGAATTGCTCTCTGCCCATCTCTCCTCAGGCTTCAGCTTGCTGCCCCACTTCCCACGACCTTGACCCCTTTTCCTCCCCTCTTCTGCTTTCCCAAGACTCCCTCCTCGCCACACCTGGAACGGAGCAACTCAGCATGATTTCATTTCCCCTCACCTTTGGATCCAGTCCACGTGGCTTGGGTGTGAGCTTTCCACAGTGCTCAGGGACGAGGGACGAGGGACTCGTTGAATTTTCCACCAAGAGTTCATTTCAGTTCTTTTCTAAGCCAGTGAGCCACCTCTTTGATTGTGCCGCCTAGTTCATCTGTGGCCAGTTTCTGCCTGGAATTGCACTTTCTGCCTTCCTTGCCCCCAGGGCTTCCTCGGGATAGCACTGGTGTTCACACCCCAAACAGATCACAGCCCCACTGGCAGGGAGACAGGGGAGAGCAGTTTCAGTGATAGTGTGGGCTGGTGGGGCAGGCACCTCACCCGGCTTGGCGTCTGGGTCACAGAGGTGGTGCTTCTACTGATCTACCTTCAATCTTGAAGGACAGGTTCAAATTGGCCTTTCAAGGGGGAGAAGGCATTTCAGGCAGAAGCACAGCTTGGCAAACAGGGGCTTGAGGCATCTGCTGGATGGAAACTGAAAACAGGTGTGAGCTAGAGGTGAGCCGAGAGCAGGTGTGAGCTGGAGGTGAGCCGAGAGCAGGTGTGAGCTGGAGGTGAGCCGACAGCAGGTGTGAGCTGGAGGTGAGCTGACAGGTGTGAGCTGGAGGTGAGCCGACAGCAGGTGTGAGCTGGAGGTGAGCCGACAGCAGGTGTGAGCTGGAGGTGAGCTGACAGGTGTGAGCTGGAGGTGAGCCGACAGCAGGTGTGAGCTGGAGGTGAGCTGAGAGGAGTGAGCTGGAGGTGAGCCGACAGCAGGTGTGAGCTGGAGGTGAGCTGAGAGGAGTGAGCTGGAGGTGAGCCGACAGCAGGTGTGAGCTGGAGGTGAGCTGAGAGGAGTGAGCTGGAGGTGAGCCGACAGCAGGTGTGAACTGGAGGTGAGCTGACAGGTGTGAGCTGGAGGTGAGCCGATAGCAGGTGTGAGCTGGAGGTGAGCCGACAGCAGGTGTGAGCTGGAGGTGAGCTGACAGGTGTGAGCTGGAGGTGAGCCGACAGCAGGTGTGAACTGGAGGTGAGCTGACAGGTGTGAGCTGGAGGTGGGCCGACAGCAGGTGTGAGCTGGAGGTGAGCCGACAGCAGGTGTGAGCTGGAGGTGAGCTGACAGGTGTGAGCTGGAGGTGAGCTGACAGCAGGTGTGAACTGGAGGTGAGCTGACAGGTGTGAGCTGGAGGTGAGCCGACAGCAGGTGTGAGCTGGAGGTGTGAACTGGGAGAGAGGAGGCTGGGATGTGGTGAGAGAGCAGCAGGTCATTCATTCTGCCTGGCACCTCTCTGAGGGCCTTGGGAGAGCGGGAAGCCACAGGGTGATGCTGGAAATATTAGGAATTGCCGGGGGGGTGGGGGCATGGAGTCCCAGCAACAGTGAAGAGGCTGGCAGGGTGAGGGGTGGGGAGGAGGGCCTGGGTTTGAGAACTTCAGAGGTAAAACTGGCAGGACCTGTGAGGCTTGCCCCACTTCACTGGGCGCACCTTGCCCTCCCATTGGTGCGTTAAGTGGAGCCGGAGGGAAGGTGCCTGTGATGAGGCTGTCCTCTGAGCTGGCAGCCAGGGGTGGGGCTGGAAGGGCAGTCATCCCAGAGCTGGGCCTCCAGGGGGTGTCACGTCCCCTCTGGGTTAGGCGCTGATTGATGGTAGGTGGACCCGAAAGCAGCTTTGGGAGAGAAGTCTTTTAAATGAGTCTGAAAGGTCCTACTCAGAGAGGAGGCCAAGTTCCCATCGGGGAAGCGCCCTGCCCACCTCTGTCTGCTCAACCCCACCCCAGCTTCCGCCAGCCTGGCAGAAGAGAAAGGTGGGTGGAGGTGAGTTCAGGGTTCCTGCAGCCGGAACTGGGGGAGGGCCCTGGGCGGGGAGCCTGGAGGGGCTGGGGATTCTGCTAGCTCTGCCTGGCAGTGGACACAGCCTTTGCCTGGCCCTCCCTCTCCTGCTCCCCAGCACCACTGCACAGCCATCCAGTGCCCACCCTTGGGCCACGCCAGCTTTGCACCTACTCGGGTGAGTGTGACTGCCCCCAGGTCAGGCCCTGGGCAGTGCTATATCCCTCGCCTGCTCAGCTTCCAGGAGGGGCTCAAGGCTTCTCTGGGGACAGGCACCGGTCCCCTGTGCCCTTGTAACTTCCGGGTCACCCTTCAGCACCTCTCATCACATCATCACAGGTGTCTGCCTCACACTGGCTCCCAGCTACCCTGGATGCTTTCTGAGGACAGATGCTTCATTACGACCCAGCAAGAGGCAGGGGCTCACTGCAAATATGGGAGTCTCTGCCTTCGGGGTGCTCACTGTGGCCTCCTGGTGTCTGAAAGTCAAGCAGTCTTTAGCTTATTAACAGTGCCAGACCCCACCACACACCCACCAGAAAGGCTGATATTAGAGAAAGACAATTGTTGGAGGGTGTGCGGAGCAACCGGAACTCTCCTGTGCGGTTGAGAAGCGTGCCAACTGATGCGAGCACTTTGGAAACTAAAGTGAAACACCTGCCTACCCTACGGTCCAGGAAGAATGGGAACGCGGGTCTGCCGGAAGGCGTGCATGAGCATGATCACAGCAGTTTCACTCATCACAGCCCAAATAGCCATCTACAGGAGAACGGATAAATGGTGGACCATTCATGCAATGGAATACTACTTAGCAATAAAAAAGGACAAACCCTTGCTATACGCACAATACAGAGGAGTATCATAGGTAATATTTAAGTGCAAGGAACCAGACACAAAAGAGCTCATACTGCATGATCCCATTTACATAAAGTTCAGGAACAGGCAAAGGTCCTTGTCTAGGCAGGGACGCAAAGGAACCTTTTCTAAAAGATTCTCTGCAGTGTTCTCTGGTTTGATGTAAGGTGATGATTACAAGGGTGTATGTATATGTAAATAAATCATCAACTTATACACTTAAGGTGAGCGTTATTCTCTAATAAGAAAGTTAAAGGAGGGGGGCTTATAAAAGGACGTCTGAGATTCTAATTAGTTCCTTTAAACTCGGCTGTAGCTTTTCCAGCAGGAAAGGGAGGCCCACATGGCCTACGTTTTCTTCAGGATCCCAGAGGATTATAATTTATGGGCAGAGAGGCCCAGGGCAAAAACCTCGCTCTGTGTGCTGAGTGGAGCAAGCCGCTGCTTCCCAGGCCTGCCGGGTGGAGGGGCAGCCCCCTCCTCCGCCGCCCCGGAGGGTGGGCACAGCCCAGCGGGCAGCCCTGGTGACCCTCCTCCTCCAGCTGCAGCCAGACCCCCTCTCCCTCTGGTTCCTGGAACCTGCCCGACCCGCCGGTGTTTCCAGCACTTAAGGCGGGGAGCTCAGCCGCTCCTCCACTCCAGGAAAATATTTGTTCAGGGACTTGGCATCCGCAGAAGAGGAAAGAAAAGCCACCTTGGAGCCGAGCGGGCTGCGCAGCCACGGGGCTGCGTCTGCCCCCCCCCCCCGCAGTGGGGCGAGCCCGGTGCCGCTGCCTGTCCCTCCAGTCCCGGAGCCCTCTGTCAGTTCAGTTGGCAAATGTCAGGGAGCCTCCC